TCTCATATATCATCATGGGAAGCTGCTTGCACTATCGGAGGCAGATAAACCTTGTAAGCTTACCTTTATTCTTTTAAGTTCAGATATCTTCCCCTCAAACATTAGTCTTAAGATCTTGACGGGGAAGGTAAGATCACTTCAGCTGTCCTCCCCCCTCTCCCTCTGAATAAATAAAATAGAATTAGAAAAGAGAAAGTTCGTTGATTAAATGCTTTGGCTTGATGTAGATGTTATAAAAGTGTTGGAGGATGGAGACCTGCAAACACTTGGTCTGCTGGATTATGACAAGAGATTAACGCACTCCTTCACTGCTCACCCAAAGGTTGACCCAGTGACTGGTATAAGCTTCCTGAAAGACACTGATTAAGTTTGTTGAAATATGATGAACTGCTCTGTGCTGATCAACTTCCTGCATGCAGGCGAAATGTTTACATTTGGTTATTCCCATTCACCACCATATGTTACTTACAGAGTTATTTCCAAGGATGGTCTCATGCATGACCCAATACCAATCACAATACCAAACCCGGTCATGATGCATGACTTCGCCATTACTGAAAATTATGCAATTTTTATGGATCTTCCTTTATATTTTAAACCCAAGGTATGACACTTGTGTGGCATTTTTTGTTATTAATTTTATATTGTCAATCCAGATAAATCATGCTACTGACTAACAATGGTATAAGAAAGCAAGAGTAATGTACACAACATTCTCATAATTTTCTTTTACGAATTGACACTGCATTCCATTTCCTTGCAATGGTATAAGAAAGCAAGAGTGATGTACACAACATGGAAAAGTATATTTCCCATTCATAATCTCGTCTAAGCATCAATTCTTTCTTAAAATGGTTATTGCCACTCAAATTTAGAAATAGTTAAAAGAATGAATAAAGAAAAGGAATTAAAATTATCCTGGAAAAACTCACCAAATACCATACGTGATTAAATAGAAATGAGATTTTTAATCTATTATGTGCCTCAGGGGAATTTTTAGTGGATTTTCAACTCAGCTTCATTCTTATAGAGTTGGACTGACTATTTGAGCATATGTTGTTTTATTTTCGAATTCAATTATTTGGAGCATGATGGTTGAATCCTGAACTTCGTAATCTTATGGTTGATCATGTAACCATTAAAAACTTGTCAATTTTCAGGAAATGGTCAAAGAAAATAAGTTAATTTTCACATTTGATGCTACTAAAAGAGCACGGTTTGGCGTGCTTCCAAGATATGCAAGAGATGATTTGCTTATCCGATGGTTTGAGCTTCCAAATTGTTTTATATTTCATAATGGTGAGCACCAATGCTACTTATGTCCATTGCAAGAAATATCTCTGGCATGATGTTTGATAGTGTTATGAATAGCTAAATTACAATCTTTAGTGTCGATGCCATTATGAGTACTACAACATGTGGTTATGGACACAATTCATATGATTAGGTAATCGGAGATTGTATAATTGGTTTTACTTTTATAGCATTTCCACGAATGGATCCTCTTTGACTCATTTTCTGTTGAACTTTACCAGTTTTTTGTTATTCATGTTGTGTGTATGAATGTTTTTCATGCTTGTAATTGGACTTTTTGCAAGATTTATGTTGATATTTGATTTGTCTCTTTATTTATGCCCTGATTTTTTAAGGGTCCTAACTTCTTTTTTTCCTCGAACACCTTTCAGTATTGCAATCTCTTTATTTCGCTAATAAAACATACTGTAATATTTTCCTACTCTTTCCATTTTCATCATTTATGATGTATACTTGTGCTTAGCTAATGCCTGGGAGGAAGGAGATGAAGTAGTTTTGATTACTTGCCGTCTTGAGAACCCAGACTTGGACATGGTCAGTGGGTCTGTCAAGGAGAAGCTTGAGAACTTCTCAAATGAGCTGTAGGACTCTAAACCATTTCTACATGAAGAAAAGTTTTGATGTGGTTGTGATATTTCTAACTTTTGCCATCTTTTAGGTATGAGATGAGATTCAATCTTAAATCTGGTCGAGCTTCACAGAAGAAACTATCAGAATCTGCTGTAGATTTTCCTAGAGTGAACGAAAGCTACACTGGCAGGTATTTTAATTCCCTTAATTTGCTAGTATTTGGAATAGAATATCGGTTCAAATCCATGTGGATCTCTGATGGAACGTTCAACTTTGGAACTTGAATCACTTCAATTAGAGGTCATTTCTGCTCATTTCCAGATTTCCAATTAAAGATCAAGAACCCTCATTTAGGAGACATCTTCAGAAACACTATTAGCCATAGGGGAACTGAGGTTCTATTCACTTGAGTATCAGAGTAATTGATATCTTTTACTGTTTGTATGAAATGGAACATCATACGTTCAAAATTATGTAAAGGTAGATCTTTTATTTGAAGAAGACAATGGGTCTACAATGTTTTAGCGATACCACTTTATGTCATCTATTGCAGTTCATCATTTCCTTGGCCAAAATCCCTCCTTTTAATTGATCTATATAACTCTCACGTTACTTTTGTCCTGATTCTGATGAACTGGATTCCTAAATCCCAAGTAAAGAATTGATAAATAACTACTACACGTACTCCGTATGCAATCAGGAAACAACAATATGTATATGGAACTATACTGGACAGCATTGCAAAAGTCACGGGGATTGCCAAATTTGATCTGAATGCTAAACCAGAAACTGGAAAAACAAAGATTGAAGTTGGAGGAAATGTTCAGGGCCTCTATGACCTCGGACCTGGTAGATTTGGTTCTGAAGCTATCTTTGTTCCTCGCATACCTGGCACCACTTCAGAAGAAGATGATGGCTACTTAATATTCTTCGTACATGATGAGAACACCGGGTACTGCTTTCCACTTCTAAAATAGTTTTGTGTCGTATATGTATTTATATTTCTAATACATCATATAAGCTTTCCACTTCTAATATATCTTTGTGTCATATATGCATTTATATTTCTAATACATCATATAACCGGTAGTTGGAAATACCCTTATCCTTTCAAAAGTTTCAATACTGCCTTAAAATTTCATAAACGTTCAGAAATACCTTTGAGCAAATATCTATTAATATTTTGACCGAAAAGGTGATGTGACAGAATCTTGAATGACGTGGTAATTAACGTAGAAATGAGGCAAGTTTTCATGTTAATTGCTACGTGATTATGCCACGTTAATTTTCCATTTAAAATATTAATGGAGGTTCGATGAAGAAGTATTTTTGAAACCTTTATTAAAGATGAAGGGCAGTATTGAAACTTTTAAAAGGACCGGAGTATTTTTTAAACGAATGACAAAGTTTATGGGTATTTGGTGGCTATCCTCGGCTCTAACTGTCAGCATGAAATATAGAATTTAAGTTTAACCCTGTAGCAGAGCAGCAGCCTCGGTATTTTCATAAGAAAGCAAGTAGGCAGTTTTACCGAATGACGAATACCGTTGAAGAATCACATTTTGCTAAAGATGGAGTTTTACCGAATGATGAATACCGGTGAAGAATCACATTTTGCTAAAGATGGAGGGTAATAATTTTCATTGTTTCGTGCAGAAAATCATCGGTGAATGTCATTGATGCAAAAACTATGTCAACTGAGCCTGTTGCAGTCGTTGAACTGCCACACAGAGTTCCATACGGGTTTCATGCCTTCTTTGTAACAGAGGTTAGTGTCAAAGTCATTTGCATTCTGTTGGCTTTCTGATAAACGTTAACAAATCAAACATGTCTTTAGAATTCTCTGGTCCCAATTTCACCAAGAAACATAAACCATTTTTATCCAATATTGGCAATCATGAACGGGGTACCGCCCCGACTTGATCAATAATGGGATTCTTGGCTTCAGGGAGTTGAAAATAAGCGTAGATTCTGTACCGATTAGCATTTGGAATTCTCTTATTTGAGTTTTAGTGCTTTACATTCTCATTCTATGTTTCTCAACAGGAGCAACTTCAAGAACAAGAAAGGCTCTGACTGGAAGAAGATAAACAAACAGTTGGTAGCATGTAATATATTCATCTTTTATCTTGAAATATTTTTGCCTCTGCTTGTTTCTGATGATTAAATTATACATATTGTGCTTCTTCTCTTCATGATCTTGAACTCATTTATGAATAAATTACCCTTCTCCGTTGCCCAAGAATTATGGTCAAAGGTATGAAGCTAGCTCTCTCTTACTGGGAAAAATTCATCTCTTCAGGAGAGGGTATATTCTATCGCCCACTTCAATATGCTCACAAATCGCTGCTTTTTTATTTTTCCTTTTCTTCTTTTGAAGGAGTGAAATGGGAAATAATGGTTTTGCTTGAATGAAAAAACTTCTAATATTTTCTTGGCACCAAATGTGGTAAGGTTGAGATGCGTAGAAGCTAGCCTAGACACTTACGGATATGAAAAAAATATATTATCATTTGACAATCTAGAATTTTTTTAACATCACGAAATAATGTGGTTATTTTTTACCCGTAGGGACCACCCTTAACAATGCAGAGAATTCTCGTTTAGACTCTTTACAGGGCAGGGATGGGAGACGTTTGTATCTGTCTGTTCCCTATCTCGTTTACGTATATATATAAAAAATAAAATAAATAATTAAAAAAAACCCTATTCTACTGCAGTACTACCCACCTAGCCCCCCCTCCTCTCTCTCCCTCTCTCTCGACCTTTTCTTCTGCTCACTCAGTCCCTCTCCCGCCTGAACTCTACCATGAGACTATTACTATGGTTCTTCGACTTTCAAAATCAACTATTTTAGTTCTTAAAGACTATTTTAGTTCTTAAAGTTTCTTGCTATTATTCTTCTCTTTAATATTTTTCCACTCAATACTTGCTTTAGGTAATTTATATGACTGTAGTACATTCTTGTTAGCACAACATTGATATATATATATATATATATATTCAAGCTACATATTCATCTAAAAAGTGAATACAAAATAGGAGAACTAAAATGATTATCTTCCAAAAAAATTGGACTGAAATAGACTTTTTGAAAGTTCACAAACCAAGTAATATTATTTCATGAACGAGCAACAAATATATAAATTAAGCTTTCCACTGAATATTAAAGGTTTGAACATTTGTCCTTAATGTCTGCAAGTCCGCAAACATGAAAATCCAAATCATCAGAAACACACACGAAGTTAAATAGATACAGCACACGATTGCACCTAAATGAAGTGACATGTCTGCACACTTAAAATTTGTGTTTTTCTTTGACACACTTTCAGATTTAGAACTAAATACGTAACAGAGAAGAGGTAAAATTGAAGAGAAGAGAAGTAGCAGCGGATGTAACCTCATTTTTGGTGCACTGCATTTCTTCATCCTCCTCTATTCCACCTCAGAGTACCAACTAAAGCCAAGAATGAATTGCCTGAGAAACACCACCAATGGCGGCTTTCTTCCAAGCAGAAAAGGGGCACAAATCCATCAGCTTACGACCAGAAACTGAGCCTCCTCACAAGAATCTAACAGTAATACTGAATCTTCAAGTTCTTTTTGCACAGAAACTGGTTAAAGCAGTGCTGGAAAACCCCCACCCCCCATTAAGAAACTTTCACTTGATGGGGATGGCCCTCTGTGGAGCCCCGTTCACCTGCATGCTTTCGTGCGGTTGACCGAGATGCCCTCCCTCAACATCGGAGAGTTGGGAATTGTAAGTGGATAAACCATGGCCATTTGATTTTCCATCAAAGAAAGCGTGTGTTATATGCATATTTTGATTCATGAACCCTCTGCTGCCCTCCTGCTGATCATCATGCGTATCCTTAACTCCATTTTCATCAGTCGCCATGTAATTTGATCCAGCCTCACTTACAGATTTTGTGAAATGGTTTGCACCAGAATTGAAGTCTTCCTCTGTTGATGTATTGGAAATAACATTGTTGAGCTTTTTGGTATTGAGGAAACGCCCTCCGCTGCCTCTTGCTCGTCTCATAGCGTGGAGGTGTCTGGATTCATGAAGGTATGGCTGCACCAAATGAAAATGAATATCCATAAAGGTAAATTATGGGATACATCTTCAATGAAATATAATTGACCTGGAGAGCGTGACCGTGATAGATACGACAAGATAACACTGATGAAATGAAACATATAAAAGATCGTCTATCGTAGTCATATCAAACACTAACATGACTCTCCCAACCGTGTAGGCCAACTAAAAATATGATTTAGGATCCAAGAACATCTTGATCATAACTCCCCTATCTCAAATATAATAAACAGTGAGAATCCAAATTCAATCAAATCAATCAAGAATCTCGTCATCTGTAAGTTGGGTCAACTGAGCAAGTTAGTTGGGTAGGGCATCCATGTAACAAAACCATCCTTCTAGCCAAGTAACAAAAGTTTCATTTTTACTAAAAATATCTATTTTTGGTCTTCTAAGGCCTTGGATGAAATTTTTATAAGAGGCAATTTTGTTTTCTCAACACATGTTATCTATATACCTTTCTACTTTTTATCACTTTCTTCTCAAGCTCAGCTTTGGCACGTGACTGTCTTCTCCTCAAGATGCCATGATACTGCTTTGCATTTACATAAACGGGCTCTTCTTCCATGTCAAGGGGTAAAGGCATCCTACCATGGTGAAGCCCATAAAAATGAGGTAACTGCAGGAAAATCAGGAATAATCATAATCTTGTATCAGCCAATCAGCAAGAAGTCTCTGTACAAAAGTTGTAAATCTCTTTGCAAAGAAAGTTATACATAAACAAACATGACAAGGACATGAAAGAAAAACAAATAATGAAGTACATGTTTAGCCTCTATTCATACAGAATAAATTTTGATATGATGCTTTCTATACAAATGGAAATATACTCGTGAGCAACTAACCATATGAATTTTAACAAAATATGTATCATTCTATACAAGGAACAACATATTAACAAAAATGGAACACGTGAACTAGCAAAAGAAACAGTTCCTGGAAATCAGAGCATACCATTGATTGTGGTCCATAAGAAGTTAGCATTTGACCATATTGTGCATCTGAAAAAGGATATGATGTCAAAACCTGCAAATGGAGATACTTGAAGTCTTTTTGTATCCAGTGAAGAGGGAAGCAATGTATCAAGAGTCACACATCAATTTTTCTTATAGGGAAGTAATCTATTCAGTGAACACTAATAAAGAACTTAGGCACACTGCTCATTTCTGTTTCTTTGTATACATTGGTTCCAGAGAGAGAGAGACAGAGAGCTCTTACAATTGAGTGACCAACAAGTTCCATGTGGGAATTTAGATCAAGATGTTCACCCACCGGTGGGGATGTAGAAAATGGAATGTACTTGAGATGCTGGACTTCTTTCTCAATATTTTCATCTGAAACAAGAAAAGTTTCAATATATTGCTTAAATTGTGTTTGCATAGGCAAAAATATGAAATTAATTATAATATTATYACATCTGCATCACAGACATGTACTTTCCAGAAAGACATCTTAAATTGACTTTTCATCACCACGAGTCATGACCATACCATTTGCTTGTGACTGAGTTGCTCCACTGGAAACAGTAACGTTCAGGTAGTCTGCAGAAGATGTTCTGATAGGATCTTCACCAACGGCGGTGTTGTTCCCAACTCCATGCCACCAAGGCTCAGAGTATTTGGTCGATTGCAGCACATACTTCACCCCATCAGTTACTTGTTGGTCTACATTTTCTGGTTTCGATGGCATCGTTCAAAACTTATCCTGGCACTCAAAAAGGGAGAAAATTAGAAGGAAAAAAAGACATTATAATTCACCTACTCATACCACACCGCAGCATCAAACCTGGTTCCATAGTTTACACTGCTCCATTTTGCTTCTCATGAAAAGCACTTGTATAGGATACAGTCTTACCCAATTCTTAAATCCTAAGCAACGCGAAATTCCTCACATGCTCAAAATAATTGAAAGAGCTATAGCATGCCAGATAGAAGATTATTTAATTAATATTGATAAAAGCTTTTCAGATATCCATCCATATAACTCATTTACAATACATTAGAGGAGCTTAAAGATATAATAAGAGATACTAGATGTTGAAACAAACTTCCATCTAGTCTATACGAACTTCAACCTCTAGGTTTCAACCCCAATTCCCATAGATCCAAAACCGATGCTCAACAAAGATCTTTCTCAGTCGCCGAAGAGCATGCAGCAAAAGCAAATAAGTAGAAATTGAAAAATAAAAAGTACAAAAATAAAACAAACAGTAGATGCATAATTCAACAAGACGAAGGCAAGTCCAGTTTCCCAGCCTCATCGGACCAAAGGTTTCAAGTTCAGAATCACTTATTGCGATCGAATTCTACTACTGAATACATTCGTTTTGCCTAAGATACTCTCTTCTCCCCATTCTCAAACTCAAAATTCCAACAGTTTCCCACCTACTTATCACTCTTTCGCTACTAGATGCAAAAAACGCAAAAAGTTCTCGAGAGAAGTGGAGCCGTGAAGTGAAACCAAATTCGGATCAAATTCCTATTGAAAGCAGCGAAATCAGACACATGTGAGAGCAAATTGGAGGAGAAGAACTTACTACTGTGATAAAGAACAGATGATCAAACCCTAGGGGAGCTTTAACTTCGCAGATTTCTCTGGTCTTCTAGCTCAGTTCCATACGCTCTCTCTCTTTTTCTCTGTGTTCAGCGGCAGCGGAAGATGACAGAAGAAGGAAATTAAAAATGAAGTGGGGAAAAATATTATTTATTTAAAAAAAAAAAAGAAAAAGAAAAAGTCTACAAATTTATGGTAGTTTATACAGTTAATTTATTTTTCTGCCTCCCTAAATTCCAACAACCCCCTAATATCCCAACTTTGTATTTTTAAAATTAAATGTTATATTTTTCAACTTAGATCTAAATCTTTACGATAATAAATTGCCCAAATTTGTCGTTAAATGACTTTTTTAGGGGTAATTTTGACCTGGCTTTTAGAGACTGAAAAGTATTTTTAAGTATTTACTTTTGATTGTGGGCCTTTTTTTTAAGATTATGAAAAATAATTATTTAATATCATTATTTGAAAACTATTTTTATAAATATTGCACTTTAATTATCTCGACGTAAGGTGGTTTGTTCAAGTTTTCTCGAGAGATAACATGCTTCTTCATATTTTTTCTCAAAAAATAAAATTGTTTAAATTAAATATAGTCTTGAAAATGTAGGAAGATTTGTTTATAAAATTATCTAAATGTTAATAAAATCTAATTATTAATGAGTAAAATTATCTTAAATCTAGCTTCAAAAATTTATGAAGATTAAAATTATCTAAGAAGGGAGGGCAAAAAAGAAAAGAAATTTGGATTCTACCTAAAAGTTCAACTGGTCTGGTCTAGTTAACCAATTAAATCAAATTATTAATTAAATTCACTTCTAATTAGTTAATTATTTAAATAATTAATTAGATTTGGTTTGTTCTAGTTAATCAAAGTATGGTCAACTAAATTTGAGGTAGATTCCATCCGTTTTTTCCCTCTCATTTGCATTCAAACGATTTCTCGGATAATTTTAAAAATAAATCTTCTTAAATTTTCCAAACTACAGCTTAGATAATTTTTCATTTTAATAATTAAATTAAAAAAAAAGTAGTCTACTTAATAGAGATGTTTTAACCACTAGATTTTGTTCATGTTAGCCGGTTAGAAGTGATTTTAAAAAGAATTATATTAGAGTGATTTTGAAATTTTCAAAAATACTTTTAGAGAAAACGCATAACTACTGTTTCTTACAAATTTGGAAAGAAAAAAAAAAAGTTTTCACTTCAAAACATCATCCTCCAAAAATCTATCTCAATTCTTAAATTTATTTAGCAAATGTGTTTTATTTAAAATGACTACACTTTCAATAAAAAGAAAAAAAAAACATTTAGAATTCACTCGTTTTTTCATTCCAAAAATTACATCAAACCCACCTAATTAATGTTTTTCCACGGGTAGTAAGTTTTATTTTATTCTACTAGTTTAATGATTATGGTAATAAATAATAAGCATTTTACCTAATGAGTTTTATTTACATTGACTTGAGAATAGTTTTATTACCTTCAATAATCTTCACAAAAAAATAGCACTTTCTCATAAGAATAAAATAAAGTATAAGAATTAAAATTTTAAATTACCATAAGATTTCATCCTTTTGATTTAATATATACCAAAGTTTATTTCTCTAATATAATGAATAGGTCACATTTAATGATTGATTCATATAAAGGACACAACTTGTGATGAAATTTTGTCTACCTTTAAGGAAGAAAAAGGGAAAAAGATGTTGTTGACCCCTTTTTACCTTCTTATTTTGGACACACGATAAAAGAGAGTGGACCTTTTTTTATATTATTTTTTTATTTTTTTTGTTTCTTTGTTTTAGGGTTTTTTTTTGTTTTTTGCTTATTTTCCATTTCTTGCTTCTCTTGTTCCATTCCTTGTTTCTTTTCGTCCACTAAAGTCATTTATTGATTAACTAATTTAATTATGATTATATATAATCCCAAATTCCTAATTATGTTATTAATTATGTTAAAAAAAAAGTACCCCTGGTCCATGGAATTTTTGTTTCCAATTTTTTTTCTTTTTATTATTTAAATGATAATAGATAATGAAGCAAAAGTTTAATTTTGATATTTGAACTTTCATGTTTATATACTTTTAATTTTAAACATTCAAAATTTGTATTTTACAAATAAATTAACATAAATCTAATTGGGGCATATGTTATCTATATGTATAAGTATATACAGTAAGGTTAGGTTGTAGGCTTCAAACAAATCATATTTCTATTAAATGACTAATAGAAAATTAACAACAAAGATTAAAATAATTATTGTTTTTTAAGAATATAACATTATGAGAGTGAGATTTTGAACCTTCGACTTTTAAAAATATTAGCTAATGTCTTAACTATTGAGTTATGCCCTAATTGATATAGTTATTAGATTTTTGTAACTTGTAATCGTGGAGTTTGAATTTAACTTACTCTTGGTCTTCATTTTGACATTAAAGTATAGAATAAAAGAAAATCACAAGCTTATGGCAATAATTTGTACCACAAATGAGATTAACCAATACATATCTCACCTTGATTAGAAAAATGAAAGATCTGTAATATATAAGTATGACAATATCTTTATTAATATAAAATCTCTCGAGCAAATAAAAAATAAAATCATGCAACTCTAGGTCGAAAGTAGACAAATTCAAAGTTTTGGCATAAATCAATATTTGTCAATTGAATATTTTATAAAATATGGTAGTATCAATTGTGGCAAAAAGAATAAAGAATTATAAATCTAAAAATGGCCAATTTGTAGAAATTTTCCTGTTTGGAGCATGATCTCACCAAGGGCAATTTTGTCATTTTACCCACAATAAGTTGCTAAAACTGACCAATCATAAAGCCAAACCAAAAAGTGACCAATGGCAGTAGAAGTAGAACCCTTGTCCCATTCCCAACTTTGATTTTTTTAAAAAGAAATAATAATTAAAGTGAAAATAATAATTATTGGAAAATGTGAGATGGCGACAGCTGTACGATTCTACTGAATGCTGCAATGTGGCAAAATCAGAAAGGTGGGAAGTCCACCACTGACAATTACACGTCAACTCCTTTTCAAACTCTTATTAACGGCGCTGTACTGAGCCGCTAGAGAATCGTCACGGGGACGTTTGTGGCTTTTATGACAAGGGTGGCAGGAAAATTTTTGTGCATCAAACGCATGAGTGCCACGTAAGAGAAAGTAGTGTCTGACGTGACGCCACGTCGAGCGAAATCAGTGGATGAAGTGAACGTGGCGTTGTGCATATGCATGGAGCTCTTTACTCCGGGTTTGGATTTTTAAAAATGGGAAGAAATCAGAGCAATTTTTTAACTTCAATATCGTCTTTGTTTATTTATCGGTTGAATTACAAATTTAGTCACTCAGATTTTCGACAAACAAATTCTTGAACTCTTAAAAATATTTAATAGGTCATTCAAGATCTTTAATTAGTATCTAATGTCTCTAAATTTTTTTATTTTGTATTCAATAAATTCCTAATAAGTTCATAACCTACCTGTCATTTTATAAAATCTATGAATCTATTAGAAAAGAAAATTGAAAGTTTTTAAGTTCTAAAGTATAAAATAAGTTAAAGGACAAGTCAAATGCAAAAATGAAAATTTATTAGACATTTTTAAATTTTAAGGACTTATTAAACACAAAAATTAATAATTTAAGATATATTAAATACTTTTTAAAGTTCAAAAACTTGTTAAACACAAACTTAAAAAAAAAATTAAAATCACAAACTAGAAAGTTACTAAACTTGTAATTTAAGCTTATTTGAAAACTATATGGCCTTCTTTTCAAGTGCAACAGTTAAATGGGTGCAATTCAATTTGGACTTTGGATATTTTAAAATTTTTAGAATTATGTAGAAGTCAATTAATAAATATTTTATTTTTTAAAACTACTGTGTATTCACAATTTATACTTTCAACTACTTTAAAAGTCTTTTCAGTTTTCAATTTTTGACTTAAAAATGAATAGAAAATAAAGAAATACATAGATGAAATTAGTTTTACCAACTTAATTTCCAAATTTAATCCATAGAGGAACGGAAGTTTAATTTTAAAATTGTGGAAGTCGGAATACAACTCTAAATAGCATTCATTCCTCGCAACTTATTTATAAAAACTACTTGGTCAGATTATATCTTTTCCACAATGTGCGTTTACATTTGCATCAACTGTGTAATATTTTTAACATTTAAAGAACGGGATATCTACCTAGATGAAAAGTTAGAAAGAACTATAAATGATCACGCACATCAATTATTTTTTTATTATATAGTTCTATACAATGAAGTTTGTAACGCTATATTAAAAACAAAAGGATAGACACAAGTTTCGTACCCGCCAATTAAAATGGCAACTCCGGATTTGATGTTCTAACACCCCAACCTAATAGCCAGGTAACTTGACTATGCCTTTTCATATAATGCAATCACAATCAGTCGAAATTCGTTGGACATTGACATTGTTCAAAAGGTCGGAAGGGGCAGTTGGTGGTGGTGAGGAGAGACGATGGTCAGAAGGGAGGGAAGTGCATGTACACTAAACAGATGGGAGACTTTCGGGTTCTCGATGATTCAAAATCGACCAACCAACGTTCGTTCGGTTACAGTCAAGATGGTTGGTTTTTCGATTTTCCTATTTCACTCCAAGGGGAAGGTATGAGCAAAAACCAGTGCTCCACAGCTCATAGAACAGAAGAGACTATATAGATAATGCCAAGGCTACAATCAAACAATTAAGGAAACCACCAAATGATGTTTTATGTTAAGATATTAATAATTGCCAGAAAAAAAGTGCATACGTACAAACAAAGGCATTTTGTCGTCTCCCAATGGCATCAACATTATGGAAACATTCCCTCCAGAAATTCATCAAAGTCTTCTTTGTCATCAACTTTATGATCCACATGTGATGTTGAAGCCTTCTTTCCTGTAAAGAGAAGGCAAAAGAGTCATTGAGACCCACAGACTGACTATTTACAGAATTCTTCGGTTAATCGCTAGCCGATCTAGCCAGTAATTTAAAGTGTATTTTGATATTAGGAATGCCATTGGAGTAGAAGTTTAAAATATTATTAAACCACTTACTGAAGAGACGGGTTTCAAACTATTCCTCCAACTACTTTGGGGTATCTTTTTATTATTATTATTTTGATAATTGGGAGTCGGAGCTTTACTCCCCTGTACCACGAAGCACCCATGCCTGCCCCAAGGCCTTGACCCAAAAAACATCAAGGATTTTTGGTATTAATTAAACTCGTCAAAAAATTCGAACCTGAGACCTATAAGCCAGTATGATCGAACAGATCTCAGGTCCTTACCAAGGGGCCACTTTGGGGTATCTTATGGTTCTCTGATTTCTAGTATAGACTCAACTAAGGAATCATGCTGACAATCCCACACTTAAATTAAGAAATAATTATTCTAGCCACAATATAACTTTTACTCCAGTCGTTAGATACATACATTGTCAAAAAAGAAAAAATTTAATTTCTATATAATATATGTAATGGTGTAAAAGTGGCTAGTTTATTAAATAACTTCTCCAAATTAATAGGGCATTTCATCTGACCTTTTCTTCTTCTCGTTCTGCTCCCCTCATCCTCACTGTCTGAAGAACTGCCATCACTTGGCCTGGAAGTAAATATACAGTCAGATTCTGTAATAATTTGTGATGCAGAAAACTGCACCTCAAAGTTTTGGGTACCACCTCTTCCTTTTGGACAATTCTTGCTCCATCCTTTCCTGTTTCTCCTTTTCTTTCTTTCTCTTGTAGTGAAGCTTCTTTGAGCATCTATTCCAAATTGTCAAAGATGGGAGAAAAAGTTGGTAAATAGATCTTACAAAGAAACATAAGTATGAGGAAATATGAAAATAGAGAAATTGAATTGGAGATAAAGGAGTTTAAAAGGCTTTTATGGATTGCCTAAATGAATTAAAATTACACAAAAGGACACAAAACCACATAGAGGTGCTGTCGTGCTGAAACAAACAACATAGTTGCTGTGGGTAAAAAGTAGAATCTGGAACCTTAAGGCTTAAGCATATAAAAAAGGCAACGGACCTCTCACAAGTTACCAGCTTTACAAGGGCCTGCTTGTTCTCTCCTGCTTCAGAATAAGAAAAGTTCACCTGCAATAACAGAGAAGTAAAGTGTGGTAACAACTAGAAGCAGCCAGCGCCGATGATTTTAGAATTCTGATATCAAAATAAATGGAAAA